ATGATAATTAATATTTTTATAATTTATATAACCGACATTTTTTATCAGTATAATAATAATTTATAATAATGATTATAAATTTCGTTTGTTTCCTGTTTGAAAACAAACGAAACTTATTTTCAGCTTATTATAGATACGTGTATATTAATTACAGTGCAGTGTCTTAATGAGGGTTAATTTTTAACTTGAATCCTTCATAATGATGCTGGTTCCTTTATGAGGATACCACGGATGCCACAGGTAGGGTGCTGGTACCTTTTGAAAATCTTAACATTCTTGAAGATGCCCCCGCCCAGAAAGTTTGTGCGGGCAAGTTTTTTACACTGGGCGACTTTCATGAAGTACCGGCACCGTTGTCAAGGTCGTTGGCGGGATGCTATTATTACAGTTATGTAGCAGCCTTGGGAAACAAGCACCTTTATCGTTCTTGTATAAACGTATGCTAAGTATCGTACAGGGTAAAAGGTAAATGGCAATTTATATGTAATAACAAATGCGTTTTACTTTCTAATGTAAACTAATGTTCTTGTCACGTGGGTAAGATACTTAAATTGTAGATTTGAGATTACCTGAGTCACTGGAGATTTTGCTGCATCATACTGTGACGTATACATTAGGATAATTGCATACCTTTACAGAAGCACTGGTCACGGCAGGATGACTGTTTCATTTTGCGGTAAAGTACTACTGCATAACGTTTTTATAGTGTTTTAACTTATTCATGAGAATTTCCAATCTTCGTGGGTAGAGAACTGTTTTTATTTACGTGATTATTCCGTTCTGTAACTGAATAAACGAACTGATCGTTGGAACTTGTGAAAGAAATTCGAAAGCACTATTAAAAATGTTTTGCCAGATTTTACTCGTGAAAGGTAAATTAGGATCTTGAACTACAAAAATGTCTTACAATAAGCAAGAGTCTTATTAAATTCTGAGTTTTAGAGTCTGCGTTCTTAAATGAATTATTCTTAGTCTTACAGTATTAAAAAAAATCCAGTGTTAAACTTCTTTAGAATTATAGCCCAGTTTTCTATGGTTGGAGATTTGTAGAATTTTATAAAATTTTAGATATAACGTGTATGAGATTGTACACAGATATCTATAGACAATGTAGAGATTTTATAAAAATTCCTATAGTTCTCAAAGGTTTCGTGTATAAAATCTTAGATGTTGATGTATTTTAATTATGGCAAAGCACACTAGGGCTATCTGCCTAAGGAGAGGGATGCCTTCGTGGAGGACTTTCTATGGGAAACTGGCTCATATACACGTTACACATGGGGAAAACCACGAAAACACCCATGCAGCCAGCCCGTTCGCGGGATTTGAATATCGGACCGAACTACCAGTGTTCAGCGACTTTACCGCTCGGCCGCTGGTGGGCGTATAAAATCTTAGATAAACTGTATGGAATGAACTATTAGAATTCTATTAAAAATATCAGATCCAGTTTATAGAAAATTGGGCTGTAATTAAAAATAATTTTAAACAAGTTTCCTTCTTTTAATTTTCTACTAAAGAACCTATAGAAAGCTTTAAATATTTAATGGTACTGTTCCGTTATCAGGACCAGATTTAGGAATGCATGTGTGTATGTATGTGCATGCGTATATTTGTATATCTTATATAAATGCATGAACACATCCATCCCTTTCTGAATCCGGTCCTGACAACAGAACAGCGCCTGTTTAAAAGCATTATAAAATCTACAGTTCTTTCAGGCTTAAAAAGAATGAGTTAAATTTTCATTTTTGAATAGAAGTTTTTAACGTAAATTTTGAAACTGTGTATTGACGGTGGAAGGGGGATGAAAACTTTCGAAACACGTGAGTGTTTTTTTTTCCCTAATAAAAAATTTCAGTATTGTTTTGATTTTATAAAATATATTTTAATAAAAATAAGGGTGAATCTTCGGATTATGGTAACTTAACGATTTTTTGGCCAAAATTTGGCGTTATAAAAATAGCTAATTTTTGTATGATATAAGCAATGCGTTTCCATTTGAAAGTAATTCAATGATAATGATTTTGAAGTAATAATTTTATAGAATCGTTTTGTGGCAGCTTTATACAATTTCTATAGAATTTCTTAGATAAACATTACTGTTAACCGTTTTCGCTATAGGAAAACAGTTTTTTGTAGAAAGATTTATATGCGGCAATGGTGTTATTATTGTTTTTATAAAGTGTTGACGATAAATATTTCCTGAAGTGTATCATTTTATTTCGTTCTTTGTTTATTGAAACAGCTAATCTAAGAAAGATGTTTTTGAAAACTCTAGCAGCTGAAATGAGCTGCTAACAATTTTTTTCCCTTGCGGGAAGTTTCAAGTTTGGATATTTTCCTGTAATGGAAAAAATCCTTAGATTGAAATTTATATTTTTGCAAACTAATTATTCGAACTTGGTGAAATAAGACAAGAGCAATAACTAGTGGTGAAATTTTCCAATAATTTATACAAATTGTATTATATAATTTTATGAGCATAAAATTCTGTTTTGTTTAGTTTCTATAGTCGTCTTCGTTCATAAACGTACTGTACTAGGGAAACATTTATAAAAATTAAGATCCACCCTAGCTTTAGCATCTTCCTTCAAGAGTTCTAACATTTCAGAATTGCATTTTCCGAATTTGCGCAAATTTGATGGCAATATTCTGCTACATTTATGTCGAAGTGTGTAACACAGATTATCTGTTTTGCCTTCATATAAATAAAGTGATATTAAAGTGACAAAAAAGATTTTATGGGAATATGTGGAAAAATCTTTTTAATATATTAGTAACTATTTTCCGAAAAATAATATTTGCGAAAATGATCTTTTTGATGAGGTGTCATTGGTAAAAAGATTCGTTACTGATGAAAAAATTAAATGTTGGCTGTCTGCAAATGTGGAAACACCAAAAAAAAAAAAAAAAAAAAAAAAAAAAAAAAAAAAAAAAAAAAAAAAAGGGGGGACGGAGTTATTCCTTCATTTTAAACAGAATAATGTTCCTTACTAGCAGCTTCGCTGCCAGCCTTCGTCTGGCTTTTAAATGTATCGGAAAAAATGGCTGAAAGAAACACCAAACGTTAAATTTAAAAATTGCGTAGAATTTTACTCTGCAGAACAACTTCATAAAAAAAAGTTATTACGTATAACAATTACAATGAAATAAGCAATATCCCTTAATACAAATATTAATTATCCTAATAAATAAATTAATCAACTTCCCTTTGCAAAATCTTAAGAACTCAAATGGTATAAAGAAGGTAAGTTTAAAGAAGGTTTGAACTTTGTTTCCTAAAAAAAAAAAAAAATCACTCTCAAAACTTTTCAATATCTTACAAACAGTGAAATAAGCAAAAAATAACATGAAAGAAACTCAAAAAAAAAAAAACAAAAAAATTCCGCGCACAATTTTACTCTGCAGAACAACTTTATAAAAAACATCAATAAAAATGTATTATATATATAAAAAATGACAATGAAATATACCAATCTCTTAAAAACAATGACATAAGAAATACGATGAAAAATTGTTGCCAAACCTATATTTCTAAAAGAATGAAACTATTCAAAATGATGCGATTTCATCAAAAATCTATCAGCAACAATAAGAAAGGAAAATTGTTGCCAAAATCACATTTTTAAAGATGTGAGAAGTGTACTCGGAAGCTTCATTTAAAAATTTTTTTAAAAATACAAAATATTATCATTTTTCAAAAATTCGTTTTGTAAAAGCAGTCGCAAGGATGAAAGTTTAACGTGTCCAAAAATCAAAGAAATCTTTATGAATATATTTTGAAAATTGTAGAACACACTCTATCCCTTCCAGGAATAAATGCAGCAACAGAACGTGTTTTTTATAGCATCAATAAAATATGGACACTTTAAAAAAACGCAGTTGAACATTAAAACTTTAATATCTGTATTAAGCCTAAACTATAATTTAAGTGATGTGAGAAATTTTGATTTAATTAAGTGATGTGAGAAATTTGATTTGATGTGAGAAAACATTAAAACTTTAAAATCTGTATTAAGCCTAAACTATAATTTAAGTGATGTGAGAAATTTCACGATATTTTAATAAATGATCCGAATCTATTGCAAAGTATTCACTCAGATAAAAATTTAACCGTGAAAGAAAATCACAATTTTTTTTAGTTAAAATATTTAATTAAAAACATAATATTCAAATTATTGTTTTTTACAAATATTTTTATAGTTACCAATTGTTAATTAAAATATATTTTTTGAATTATTGGTCTGCTTTCATAACTAAATTATAATTCTCATTTCATTCCAAATGTCCCACTTTGTCTCAATGAAAATGTGACCACTTTATATCCTTGAAATTTGAGCAAATAATGCAATGTGATATGTTCAACGTGTTACTTGACATTCTGAGCTATGTGAGACATAGTTAATTTGACTGCAATAATTTGCAATAATTAAGCGAACAATTAACATAACTTTTATTTAAGGATTTGAGGAAAAATATTATGAGATTGGCTGAAGGTGAATGCTGGGGTGGTTTTTCGCGAATACAGTTTTTATATTTTTTCTAACCGTACTATTATATTAATTTTAAGATTATTAATTTATTAAGTTTTATATAAATTTTAAGATTTTTACTTGATTTTTTTTTTTTTTAAGTTATAAAGTAATATAAATTTCCTGTTATTCAAAATTTTACTTATAGGCCATTTTCATTGGGGGGGGGTTGGCAGATACGTGGCATTCATTATTTAGCGGTGAGTAGGACAGGTGCGCACTTCCTCCTCCCTTTGTATGCACCCCCTAAGCATTCCAATTGGCTACCATAGCCAATCAGATTGCGTACTACCTCAGCATAGAAAATGAGGGTTTCGGGGTTGACCGGCCTTATAATGCCTTAAGGCGGTCTTTGAAATAGGAAAAGCGCCTGAAATTTGACATCAGAGCGCTAAGACCAATATTCCGTTGAATTCTGTAGCTTTCCTAAAGCAGTCACGTGATTTTACATTCCCTTTTTTACAGATGCCCTAAAAATAAATGAAGGACATTGCCAAGGACATTTGAAGAACAACCTGCGTTGCCAAAAAATGAAATTTGAAACTAGAATAGTAAGTTATTAAATCTATTCATGTCTCATACAGTTAGTCTAATGATCAAAATAGTCAATAACCAGATACAGAATATTACAACCACTTTTATCCGAACTAGTTGGAGGAGGGAGCAGATTTATTTCGGATAAATGTTTTGATTATTCCATAGAACTTCCATAAGCAAGTGAAAGTATATCTATAACAATAAACAAAGTTTTGTATTATATTGATTTTTACACATCTGTATAAATATATTTGCATATTTTTTCATTTAAAATAATGAGTGATCGTTTGAATTTTTATTTCCTTGTACGAAGTAAAAAGGAAGTATTGTAATCGCGAAAAGTTTCATGCAGCATATTTCAACGAAAATATCCATTTTGACCACTATCGAATGCAATTTAACGATGTTTTTGCGTGATATCTGTAGGTAAGGACAGAATAAAATACTCTTTTCTTAAAAAAAATAAAATCTTTAAAAAAATATATATAATAAAACTGCTTTAAAATTAATTCTGAAGAGAATTTTTCGTGGCGTCTGTACGTACGTATCTCGCATAACTCAAAAACGAGTAGCCTCAGAACGTTGAAATTTTGTTTTGTATATAGGACTGCTATAATATAACATGTAGATGTGCACCTCGTATTTTGGTTGCAATCGGCCGCACCAAACGTATATAAATATATTTATATATATATCCACTCTGTTACCCGGCTCAGTGATCTCAGTTTCTTTAGTCTTATATGTTTGTAAATTGTACATTTTTGCTTTAAAAGTGATTGTAGTTATGTTGTTTTTATCTTCCGTTAAGTTTTTAAGGTTTTTTTATGCCTTTAGTAAATCTGTATGCAATATTTGAGAATTATCAACAATTTTAAAGTTGTCTAAGTGCCGCTAAGCCATTTTTATATGGCGGCCATTGATGTTTACATTTGAAACAGAGACTAGTGGATTTGTTGCCAATCTAGAGAAACTTAGCTTCGCAAAGATAACGCATTTATTTATTATTGCCAATTAAATCATGCTTAATTCTTTCTGGAATTTTTTCCAGGAAATAAGTGTTTAAGATTTACTTCGTAATTTTTAATAGAGATATTTTGAGTTTTTATGCATTTTTGCCTTCTCGCGAAGTGAGAACTGAATTGATTAAAAACTGTTTTTTTTTTTTTTTTTTTTTTTTTTTTTTTTTTTTTTTGTTTTGTTTGCTTAATTTTCTTAATTCTTTCATTCACATCATTCTAGCTTTATTAGTATTTGAATAGAACATGCGGCAACGATTAGATAATTCTATTCTTTAAATGATATAAATTTTGTGCATTATGAGTTTTAATATGAACGAAATATATAAGTTAACTGTTATATAATTATTGGATTATATAACAGTTAACTTAGTTTCCGTTATATAATTATTATGTAAGTTAACTGTCATATAATTATTAATACTGTTAAGTGAATCTAGCGCTAGAGTGTCGCTATGGTAAACAAATACTAGAGTGAATTTTAAAGAATGCATTTATTTTTAAGAAAGAAACGTTTATAGTTACAGAATCCTTTCGTAATGTTTGTAGTTTTATTGCAGATTAGTAGGGAAAATTGCCACTGCTGCATCATATTATGGATGACATTCGTACAACTTTTCTGATACACTTGTCCGGAATGTTCTTTCAAAAGAATGCTTCATATACCTTCCTTTTTTTTTTTTCCATTTGGCACCACACATCGTGCTTAGTTGCTTCATAATCAAACTTCTCTTATTCATAGTGTAAACCTTAGTATTAGGAAAGTTAATTAGAACCCTTTGCAAATCCACCCTTACGAAAAGTTGTTTAAAAAGAAAAATCGGGGTTAAAACTGCTTTAGAATCATTACCCAATTTTTTTTTTTTTATAAATTGACAGGTAGCTATAGAATTTGGTACTTACGTATTATCGCAACCAGGTTGGCGCTATTTGTAAGTTTGAGTAAAAAAATATGAATAGAAAGAAAATGTACATTTATTAATTAGAGATAATTTTTAATACAGTTTTTTATATTATTTTGTTTTAAAATATAAAATAGCAATTAAACCCTTCCGGTTTCGAATTTCAAGAAATTGCAGAATTATTTTTTCGGCGGAAATCTTTTGGCTATTGCTTTTAGAACTGATTGAAAACCGTATTTGCCATAACCATGTACACGTCGACTTATTTTTACTTAAAAAAAATCCCAGAATTTTACCAGAATTGCAAAAAAATGGCATTGCGCACACTCTTGACTTTATCCATGTACACTGCTATTTTCTCATAAATTACAAAAATTTGCACGAAAATGCAGGAAAATTTTGTGAATCTCCACATGCTCTTTTTACAAAACTACGTATAACACGTAGGGTTGCCGTAAGTAGGGTCGCCAAATTTGGCAATTTATGCGAATTTTGGCCTGGTTGCGATAATACGTAAGTACCTAGAATTTTATAAAATTTTAGATAGAGTTATATGGAGAGGTATGTTTAGGTATTTTATAAAGCTTTGTGTTGAGATTCTAAAAGCAGTTTCATAATTTACAGATATTTCAAGTATAGAATCTTACACGTGTATAGAATCAACTAATAGAATTCTCGGATCCAGTTTTTTTAAAAAATATGAGCTGTAATTCTAAAGCATTTTAAGCTTTAATTTTCTACAAAACATCCTACAGAAGTGTTTGAGTATTTGAAAGTGTAAGAAGTGATCAAACTTTACTTTTGCAATTAAAAAAAATTAATTTCAATTTTTTTCAGAGAATTTTTTAACCTAGATTTTGAAATTACCGAGTATAGAGAGAGTAAAAAGTTTCGGAACGGGTACAACTAACAAAAAATGTATGTTTTTGTTAGTTGTAACATAAAATTTCAATGTTGTTTGATTTCACAAAATTTGTTTTGATTTCACAAAATATTAAAAAATAAATGAATAAATAGTACGTTTTAAATAATAGTTTAATTTAAAATTCAGAAATCATTTCTCTTATCAAGAGTATCTATTTATGCAATAATTAAAAGCATTAATTTCAGGAATTAAAATTTTGTAATTAACAGCTGAATTAAATCCTTTAGCTAATTCCACGATTTAAATTGATGTTATGCTCTCACAACAGTTAATTTTTAACTGTATAAACAATATTGTACAAACCATTGCACAAAACGTTACATGAGTTTAGAAGCTAAGAAACGTGAAATTAAAAAAAAGAATTTAGATTAAAAAATGATTCAAAAACGAATAAAAATGCTGTTCTATAGCACATTAGAAACTAAAAATTTGCTTAGATTAAAGTGAAATTTTACAGATTTCTACCCAAAACTATTCTGTAAAGGTTTTATGCAATTTGTGTTTGATTTCGCAAAGTAACATTTCAGTAAAATTCTTTTCTGTGAAATTCTGGAAGAGAATCTGTGAATTTTAGAGAAGCATTTCTGTAGCAGATTACCTACAGTGTCTCACAAAAGTGATGGGACACTTGTGCTTTACAAAAGGAAACTGTAGTAAACTAAATTAAGAAAACATGTAAAAATTTTATGTGAGTGTGTTTCATACTGAAATTTAGTAACAATAATTATATAACATATATTTTCTCAAAATATTAATATTAAAAATTATTTAAAAATAATAATTTGTTTAGAATGTAGCAAAAAATGGGTCACATAAGTGATGGGACACTTACTTTTCCATCAAATATTTATCCAAAAATTTTACTTTTTAAAAGGTTTTATTATTTTGTTCGATTTCCTTTTACTTTTAAAACATGATTTTGAACTTCTTGGAATTGATTCGGCTAATTTTTTTGTGATTTCTGGAGTGATTTTATCCCATTCTTCTTGAAGCACCGATTTTAATTGTTGTTTTGAAGAAATAGTATGTTTGCGAATTTTTAATTCCGATTCTTGCCTAATATTCTCTACGGGATTTAAGTCTGGAGATTGTGGTGGTGTTTTTATTATTTCAGGACAGTTATATAGCAGCCAGAGTCTAACGTTCAAAGCAGTGCGCGTGGTGTCATTGTCCTAGTAGAATTTAAAATCGTTACGAAAATTCAATTTTCGCGCTGAAGATTTCAAATTTTTATTTAAAATGTCAATCTTAAATTTAAATTAAAACTTGTACTGATCCATTATACTGTCAATAAAAACAAGAGTACCAACTCCAGCGGACGACATACATCCCCATACAATAAATCCTCCTCCACCATGTTTTACTGTTGGCACCAAGTTCTGTTTGCGAAATTCTTCCCTGGGTTTTCTCCACACCAAGATTCTACCGTCAGAACCAAATATATTAAATTTACTCTCATCAGCAAATATAACTTCATTCCAGAGCTAAAAAACACAAAAATTCCAAAACAAACTGGAGAGATATACTGCAGACGATTTTATAAATTATTGCCAATTGCTTATGAGTAAAAATAAGCCTCCCCCCCAAAAAAAAATATTTTTATTGTAGTACATACTAGTATCTAATGGTGTCCCATCACTTATGCGAGCCATTTTTTGCTCCGTTTTAAACAATTGTATTTTTATTAAATTAATATTTAATATTTTGAGAAAATGTATGTTATGTAATAATTGTTACTAAATTTAAGTATGAAACACACCCACAAAAAATGTTTACATGTTTTTTTAATTTATTTTATTACAGTTTCCTTTTGTAAAGCACAAGTGTCCCATCACTTTTGTGAGACACTATAAAATTTCAGATGAATTTCTATAGAGCTGTGTCAGACTTTTTAAAATATAACGTAAGGACAGACGATAAATCGTTTGTTTTGCTCTCGTGTAGTTTCATAAGCACTGTATCAGCTGTGGTGCAGATAAACGAGACACCTCAAAACGACAAATTGTTTATATCATTGATAGAAATCATTGTGTAGAAAAGCATTTTAGTGTAAGAAATTTAAATTCTTATTTCTGGTTTCATTATTCGTTGTCATGCAGAATGTCATCGTCATTATCAGTGGCTGGCAGTTGGCAGATTTTTTTTTTTTTTTTTTTTTTTTTTAAAGGATG